AGTGTTAACAGTTATCTGCCCCTGATATCTGTATAAACTGCCCCTTAATGTCACCCTCTACTTCGAGCGAACTCTGGGCCTTGTACAGGGTGAAACCTTACTGTAAAAAATGGCTTATCAACCCTTTGTGGGTTATTCAAATACAAAACGTTAATATTTTTTTTTTTTTTTGCATAACAATGATCCTCTCCCACCTACAAGTCCTACTATTTAACCTATAGCTAGGGGGAGATGAGGAGTCTTTTCATATAAGTGAATGTAACACACTGGATAAAATTCAATCTCAGCACTCCAATTTCTCATTCCTAGATGCTATATATTACTGCCCCCACCTCACACACACACACATCTACTTGAATGCAAAAGAGGCCTCTGTTAGCATAAACCATTAAATGCTACCTTAATAGCAGATTTATATCCAGTCCTGGATTTACATATAAGCTGCAGCCCCAGGGGCCCCAAGGTCTAGGTATGTGTACATGATAAAACTAAAAACAACAAAAAATAAGCAAAAAAATAAAATTCCTAGATTTAATTTCTCCTTTGAAATGATTTGAAACAATTTAGAGTAATTAAACCCCTCTCGTTAGAGTGGGTCTTTTAAATTCAATGGGGCCTCTTGAAGTGGACCCATTTAGGTTTTGACATCTTTTTTATATATGTTGCAGCATACCTACGGTCAATAATGGGTATGTTCCCATTCACATAAATACAATACTGTATGTTGTTCTGCTGTTGGTGATTCGTCTCCAGCTGTGCTAGTCAAACTCTCTCTCTCCAGGCAGAGAGGATCCCCAGATGAGTCTATGTCAAAGGGCAAAGTCTTGTCTCAGGAAACAGCTACCTAACCCTGTTTTATATGGGGTCTACAGGGAATTTTTGCCCAAGCCTATGAGCAAGGATATCCCACATTAAATTCAACTTTGTGCTATATCTGACCGTGTGGGGCGGTTGTAAGATGTCCTGCAGTTGGAGATTCATTGCAGAATTCACTTGTCTCACTTCTAGCAGTTGACTACGTTATCTATGTGCCACTAGTGAATCTTACATGTGTTGTTCTTGTCCTAAGTATTACTAACCTTTGGGTGATTATTCTATTCAATAACCTTCCCTGGGTTACAACAATATACATGTTTTTAATTTTGCTTAATTTTCTCTACTTTGTTTAATTTTACACTTTATTGAACACAGATGTGTAATAAGTGCAAAATTGCTTAATATTGTACACTGGAAAAGCATCATCTAAAAATATAACATTTTTTTATAAACACAAGGGGTGAACATTGATAATTAAAGGGACCCCAAAATTCTGTCACCCCAGAGGCCTTGTAAAGGCTGAATTCCGGCTCTGCATACTTCCTCTTAAAGTAATGACTATATAGAAAACTTGCTCTATCCAATGGTGTCAACGTGCTCCCTGTATCTGTCATAGTTTCAATGAAAAGTAATATGAAGCATTCCTTTTGAAGTGACAATGCATAGCCAATGTGGAACAATAGTGCTTTTGTAATTTTCTAGAAATAGGAGGCACTACTTTCGGAGCATCCTTTCACAAGGTTTTTGCAGAAATGTGTGTGTGTATTTTTTTTTTTTTTTTTTATTAAGAATAAAATTTACTTTTTTTTAAACATACAGTTGGAGGTAACACAGATAATTAAAATCAACTTAATTACTTGACAGTATGAATGCCCATAATTAGCCCCAAAATTCTCTGACCCCAGGGTCAAAAGGGTTTAATGGTGAATCATAATGTGAAGCCACAGCAAGCACCTGCTACGTCCCACTGACATCTGTATTTTTGAACCAATAAGATGGGTGGGTAGAATGTACTACTGGATCGAACCTCTCCCTCAGTGGGTGGAGGGTAGGTCCATTGCCAGACACCTGAGGCGTCCCCAAAAGAGGAAGTGCTGAGGGGGGTTTGGGCAATTTTTCCATGGTAAACCCACTTTAACCCTTGACCTCGTGTCACATTTGGTAGCAAAATGGGTGTGCTGAAAAATACCCTTCAACGAACCCAGGACAAAATCCCAGCCTCTTATAACAGAAGTGGACAAAACTCCATTCTCATTTCTCATTTGTTAGTTTGCATGATCGTTACACCCTGCCAATACCTTGTAAATAATGGACTATTCCATTTCAATTGAGTGGAAAAAGGGGAAAAGACACTACTTGGTTTCAGTGAGAAAACGAAAGAAACAAAGAAGGGAAGATAGAAGTGGAGAGAGAGAGAGAGAGAGAATCAGATTAAGCTGACAAGAACAGATTCTACACTTTGATCTCAGCCAAAAGACCAAGAATCAATTGTGTTTTCTTGCAGCCCCATGCTGGCAAGATGTGACACAAGGTCAGTTTAATGTGTGGAGTACAAGCACATGCACCCAGGCTAGGACCAAAAATAGCCCTGTCTGTTGGGCTGGCATTGCTATTACTACTGATCCCCACCTCATTAGTGCAATGAGGGAGGTACTGCCGCAGGCAGTTTTTTTTCCTGTAACTGGGAACCTCTCATTAATATTTTCAGTTGTACTCTGTCTGCAAACAGACACAACTGAAGAGATAAAACGTTTATCCGCCTGAGGGCAGATAATACATTTTTATCCCAGTCAAAAAGCCGAGTGCTGGTGACTGCGATAAAAACATTATTTTTCAGACACACAGTATTAACTGAGTAAGGCAATTGCTAAAAATGACCAATTACCATAAATAAAATAATATTGTCTACTGAATTATTATTAAGAGAAATGTTTGTAAGACAGGGAAGATAGAATGTTTAATGTCTCCTGACAATACCTCATAAATAATTTTGATTATGGAGAAAAACAAGACATGCACAAAGGGAAGTGTTCAAAATCTGTTTCAGTGAAATGGAAAAAGTTGTAAAATTTTTTCATTTGTACCCACTTCTTAAAATAATGACCAGCATTCATATTTATGATTGTTATTGCAATAATTTGTTAGGATTTAAGATTCATCATGAAATTCAAATAGGAAAACCTTGAAATTTTCACGGGTTTTTCTAGTAAATAAAAGTTTCATATATAAAAAGAAAAAAAAATTTAACATAGAAAATCCAAGGAACTTTTAATACAAATTTCAATGTCAAATTTAGACATTAACAATAATATGAAATATATAACCTTCATCATCATCCTTCGACCTCCCTAGGGTTGGTCGGAACTCTATTGACAAAATCCCTTTTCACACTGTTCGGGTCCTGTATTGCTGTCTCCAGACCCCCAATGTCCAACTCTGAGTCCTGAGCTATGGTGTCTGGGAAAGTCAATTTTCGTGAGAAGACACTTCCAGAAGGATGCCACAAGAGTAAGAATGAGATGATTATAGAAAGAACTATATACCCTTATATGTACAATCTCCTCCCAGATGATGAATAAACTTTAAGCAACAGAAATGTGTTTCTACAGAAGGATGCTGAGAATATCATGGACCAAATGTGTGAGCAATGACAAAGTTTTACAGAAAATGAAGCAAAAGGAAAATTTAACATATATGAACACATATATATATATATATATATAACGTATTTTTTTATTACTTGTATTATTTACATTATTTGGACTGTCATCTTCATTTTCATTCACGTTTTGGATATTGTATGCTCCGGCCTTCTTCAGGTGATTGGAATTTTGAACTGAAACGTTTATTTTGTCCACCAGATTGCAAATTGTTCTAGTTCCACGTGCCATGCATCTTCTGGGTGTCTCGGTTATTTCCCTTTAATTCAACTCTCTAATTTTTTTGGTTCACCACTGCTGTGGCCCGGTACTGAACTCACAACTCTTTAGGTCTAGTCAGTAGATCTAACCAATGTCTTTATCTGTAAGAGGCATGTCATGTGGAACTAGAACAATCTACCCCGGTGGACAAAATAAAGGGTTCAGTTCGAAATTCCAATCACCCGAGGGAGGCCGGAATGTACAATAGACGAAATGTTGTGAATATGGCAATGAAGATGAGGATAACAGTCTGAATAATGTAAATAATACAAGTAATCATAATACCTCATCTCAGTCAGAGATATAGACAACTTTCTTTTTTATTTATTTATAGAGTTACCATTAGAAATTGCTATAGGAAACTAGTTTGGTTAATAAACTTAAATTTATTAATACATTGACTGGCAGCTGAAATTTCTAGGGTACATAATGAGGAAAGAAGGCTTGGAAAATTTAACACTCACAGGACACGCTGAAGGCAAGAGAGACAGAGGAGGGCAGTGAATAACTTGCCTAACAAGTTTGTGTAAATGGTTGGCAGAAAGGGGATTAGGAGAGAAAGCAAAAAGACAAACATTGTTTAGAGCTGTAAGGGAAAAATTAACACCAGTAAGAAACAGTTGAAATTTCTAGGGTTCGTAATGAGGAAAAGGGGCTTGGAAAATCTGATACTCACAGGACAGAATGAAGGCAAGAGGGACAGAGGAAAACAACACCTAACCTACCTAGCAAGCTTGAGTAAATGGATGGCAGAACAGGGTTTAGGAGAAACTAAACAACCAGTTGGGTCACTTGCAGTTTAGGTTATGAGACATTCGAAGAAAGTTGAAATAAAAATACTTACTGCGTAAACAACATGTATTTTGAAATCTTATTCACTTAAAATATTTTTCTCAATCAGATTAACTTAAAAATATTTTTTTAATATGCCAAAAAATATTTTAAAATCATATTCACTAGAAAATATTTTTTAAATACTTAAAATTTTGTTTGTTTAAAGAAAGCTGAAATATAAATAATTACTCTATAAACAACTGAAAAACAGCAAAGCGGGATCTTTTTGTGTCTGTCTTTAATTTAAAAATATTTTAATTAAAAAAATTGTTTGTTTGAAGAAAGTTAAAAGAAAAATACTTACTGTATAAACAACTCATATTTTTAAAGCTTATTCAATTATATTTTTTTCAATCAGATTAACTTAAATCATTATCTTACTGGACACACACACTACGTAAGCATGCACACAATCACAGACTTTTAATATTATATAGATAGATAGATAGATAGATAGATAACAAAAAGACAAAATTTATTAAGAGCTACAAAGGACAGAAAATTGTGGAGAGCCATGATCAACTACATCCTGAAAGGACATGGCACATAAAAAAAAAAAAATCTAACAAAATATCAACCCCTGCTTAGGTTATTTAAAATTGAGATTTGTTTTTTTAAGTTTACTCAAAAACATTTCATCATGTTCGGGTCAAAGTGTGTAATATAAATGTTTCGCTCAAGTCCTATCATTTTTCACTTATATTTGTACTTAAGTAATCTAGGTGCGCCAGGTCATGGTAGGCTTGACCTACAGTCTTTGTGCATCCAAGTGTGTTGATTTGGGATGGATACCTGCAGGGACTTCAAAAAGGGAATAATTTGAAATAACATTTCTTCTAATGAGCCCTGTTTTTAACTTTCATCCATTCAAAACAACTGAACTTAAAGACTCCGTCACACAGTGACCCTATTTGGCTTATTGCAAATTAACACATTTATATCCACCTGACACACGTGTGTCTCATGTTGTGTATTGCCTCTGACGCACAGGTGTCAGGAAATGGATGCACTTAAAAAAAAACCAAAAAAACAACCCTGATGCATAAAAAAAAAAAAAAAAGGATTTGCCAAAGATTTAAAAAAAAATATCATTTCACTACAAGGAAGGCAATAAAGCCACTATGATGCAAGAGGTCACTGTGTGTTAGAGAAGATAAGAAAATATACTATTAAGGAGAAAGGATAATATAAGAATGAGAATTAAGAAGACAGAAGATAGCAATTGATATTGCATTTAAATTTTTGAAGGTCAAAGTTGACTGGGAAGTCAGAAGCTGGGAGAGAGATCCACAAGCGAGAAGTGCAATAGAAGAAACTGTTAGTATAGAACTTACAGTTACAGCTAATCATTTCAACTGTAAAATGATGAGACCTTGCTGCCAATCTAGTACTGCGCTTAAATTTATAAAGTTGAAGTACCATAGATGAAAATTCATCAGAACAATTACCATGAAAGTATTTATAGAAATAGTTTTATTCAAGTGCATATCTTCAGGTGTCAGTCAGTTAAGTACCATATGTGATAGATGCTTGGGCAATCAAGTTTCTTTTAATTCATGACTGACTAGGCAGAAGAATTTCCTGCAGTAGGCTGCCATTTATTTTTTTTACAGTAGACTGGTTGCCAACCAAGGCTACAAAACCCAGTCTGTCCTGCTATTCAACCCATAGCTGGGAAGAGAAGAGATGGATTCATACCTTTCTCAAGAGTATTAGGTAAATGAATATAACAAAAAAAACAAACAGGAATTGGAGCTTCATTCTCCAATTAACAATTTTGAGCCATTATCCATTACACCACACACATATTCAGTCTTACAACATCTGTTATTCCCAAGTGGTCACTCATCTAGGTATTGACCAGGCTTAATGTGGCTTAACTTCTGTGATGGTACAGGAACTGGTGTTTCAACATGATGTTGTTTTAAGTCCTTTTTCCTCTTGAACCCAGTTCTTTCTGGCATCACTGTTGATTCCCGTTCAATAGGGAATGTAGAATTATTGCAAACTGAATTACAATTGTGGCATGAGGCTGAAGGGGTTGAAGCTGGTCTATACTCAGTCAGTTAAGTGCCATGACTGACGAGGCTGATTTTTTTTCCTGTAGTAGGTTGCCATTTCTTTTTGCAGTAGACTGGTTGCCAACCAAGGTTAAAGAAGCCAGTCTGTCCCGCTATTCAACCCATAGCTGGGGAGAGAAGAGATAGATTCATACCTTTCCCAAGGGTATTTGTGCATAAATGAATCTAATGAACTCAACGGGAATTCAAATTCAGCTCTCCGAGTCCTCACTCCGAGCTGATATATATTACAACACAGTTGGTTTACACTATCCTAAACCTAGCTAATCTGATTCATGTCCCATTCAATCCATCATATACCACAATACCACATACTAACAGAGGGCCCTACAAACACACACATCATAATAATTTCATGATATAACAAATGTCCTTTTTTGTAGGGGGTATCATCTTTATAAAAATACATAAAAATTCAATGAAATGAGTGGGGAGGGGGTGAACCAAAACAAAACTAAAATATAAAAGAACATTCAAACTGAAAATAAAATATGTTAGTAGGACCTGACCACCCTACAAAAATAAGAGCAAATGCTGTATTCTGCTAAGAAGTAGAATCAAGAAACTCGCTCACTAACAGAGAAGGAAGAACAAAATAAATTATGGAGTGGAGAAAATATCAATGGCTGATCTAGTCAAAAAGGGGACAAAAAACAAACTGGGGAGATTAAGAATGTTTACATGGACCATAACAAAAAAAAATTCAGGAAACCCTCCCATTAATTAGGTAAACAATGAAAGTCTAGCTTAAACAGGGGAAGGATCTGTCAAGAAACCACCCTGTTGCATTAAAATGGGACTTAAAAAAGAAAATCAATGCTGGCCTCATTCATATGAACCAAGCTGGTGACATGCACTCACCTTTTGCTGAAATCTGCTGATACCAAATGCTATCAGTTCTGATCTTCATCTTGAGCTGATGCCCAAAGAATCCAACCAGATCCTGATAAGAATAACATTTCTATTGTAAGATTCCCTCCATCCGTGACATCCACACCACGATGACTGCAAAAACATCCCACTTCCAAATTTATAAACAAACTGTACAGATGTATGCTGGGATTTCTTCCTAGCCAATAAGATAGACCATTTCTCAGACTCATCCACCATATTTCTGTTTTCTTATCTTGAAGTCAGAATGCTGTGATCACTTGTTTGTTAATCTTTTTGCCTTATTACCGTTGCTTTGCCTACTTTTGTCTTGCATATATTCTTTGTTTCATATTATTTTTCCCTTGTTTGTTTCTTTCTTGTCTTGTTGTTCAGTGAAAACTTTGTAAATTCTATTTGTTGGGCATTCTGCCAATTACATGGCTAATTACTTTACAACCATGTTTTCATAGACTTCGCTATTAGCATAACGAATAAATTTTTAAAGTCTGCACCACTGTCATAGACCTGTTCTGGAGGTCATCAACCTTGTATCAAAGAGACAGTGATGTAAGTATACATTAAAAATATTTGTAGATATCTTTACTAATATTGGAGGCTTTAGTATGTTTGTGTTTGTGTGTCCATGCCATCATCACCCTCAAAAGACAAGACTCATTAAACTCATTTTTGACACAAAGATTCCCAAGACATTCAAGTGTGATATAAACTATGTGAAGTTTGGCCTTGGAAGTCATTCAAGGTTACCAGGGATTTTCAAAGATCTACACCTGCCATATCTTTCAAAATAATGGACTGATATATTGAGTCCTCAAATAAAATTTAAAAAATTGCAAGAAATGATATAAAAAAAGAAAGAAAATACCACCTACTTTTTCATCTTTTTTGCATTGTATTTGATTTGGAAAGCAGTTTGTATAAGACTATCCTGGTCCTGTTCGTATATTGCCGGCACAGTTTTCTGGAAAAACTGAAAAGACGGAGAAAAAAAGCCTTAGCATAGAAGGAATTTGTGTGTACAAACACTACATAACAGGAAACTCAGTGTTTGCAAATGAAAGGTTTGAGCTGCTAATAAAGAAAGCAGGCAATAACCAAGACAACACAACAATAATCAACACAAAACAAAATATAATCAAGACAATCAACAATAATCAAGAAAGCAGACAATAATCAAGAAAGCAGACGAATGAAGAAAATAGATAATAACCAAGACATCACAACAATAGTCAAGACAACATAACAATAATTAAGAAATCAGACAATGAAGAAAGTAGAGAATACCCAAATGAAATTCACAACAGACTTTGTGAGAGTATATTTATTATATTGTATATTTAGTATATTGTATATACTGTATATTTATTATATGTAAAATAAAACTATAATGTATTGTTTATGTATACAAATATTAATAAATCTGTGAGAGTCCTTTATTGATCTTCCCCAGTTTTTTTCCCTTTTGCCATTCATAGGAAGAAATAGGTCATTACTCTGGGCTAATGCAAGTTGGTATTGGCATAAAGCACCAAGTGGTCACCCATCTAGGTACTGGCCAAGCTCACCATTTCTTAACTTCAATGAGTGGATGAGATCTGGTGTTTCAATGTGATATGACTGAATACTTCTAAGTAGACAACCCTTTGCAACATGATGTGCTTCTGACTTAAATTTTTTTAAAAATCATTTCATCACAAGCAAGGTGATAATGCAACTAGAACACCAGGGGGGTGAAAGTGAAAGAGAATGTGAAGACCAAGAATGTCGAGGATTGAAGAAAGGACAAGTATTTGTATATCCTTCCTTGATTCAGCTTCTAATACTCTGGAGTGAGCAGCTTGGTGAAAGAAAACATGACTCTTGGAACACAATCAGTTGGGTTACGTATACTTGGATGAGTATCACCACAGAATTTAGTGAGTAGCAGCACTATGTCAAGTCTAGTTAGTTTCTTCTTTGTCACCGAGGCCCGTAGGTTCAGTGGTATGATGGTCTGAGTTCAATTCTCAGTAGTGGATGCACACTGCTGATGAGTCGCAAATAGGGCAAAACGGCCGTCCAGTGCAGTCCATTCTGTTGAGGATATTCTAGACTCAATGAATTACTATAAATGTTTATTCAAATCCCTACAATATTTTCACACATACATATATGTGTGAATAAAGACAAAAAAGAAAATGAACAGAGTTATGTCAACAAGTATTAGTTATAATAGAGCTCATGTTCACCAACTGCTACTGCTGGAAAATGCATTCATAAAACAACATAAATACGTGACACTATCCTTATGCAGACACAATGTTTTTTTTTCTGTCATACAATTTATTATATGCGTTGTAAATATCAAAAACAAAAATATTTTTGTGAGACTATATTTCACAAGGATCTTTGTAACTCGTTTATTTCAACTTGAAAGAAAAAAAATACTCAAAAAATTTATTTAAAATTTGTAGAGCTGTTTGAAGATTATTTCTTCATTTTTAGCATGCTTATATATAATATATATATATATATATATATATATATACAGTGTAACCCGGATATAAGAAACCCGGATATAAGAGAGATTTTCTCTGGTCCCAAATTAGAGCCTGTGTTAATGTATATAAAATAGACCAACCCCGGATATAAGAGACTTCTTCTCCGGTCCCAACAACTCTCTTATATCCGGGTTACACTGTATATATATATATATGTGTGTGTGTGTGTATTAATCAGGCTGAGACCCCACTAGCTGAAAGGAAGATTTAGTCTGTTGGCAGGTTGTGAGAAAAAACAGAAATAGCGGTGAAGATGTCCCTATTCTTAATTACTTACCCCCAGACAGCACAAGGGGAATGGATCTATGAAAAAAGAACTGTTTATCAGAACCTACAGATGGCAAATTTGAATGCCCACAAAAAAAATGGAGTGTCAAAAGGACAGTTTTTCCCTTGACACCACCATTATTTTAACTACCTTTACTCCTCAGCAATGTTTATTGTTTTGCACTGACACAAATGGGAAAGAAACTATGTCAGGGGGTAGAAATTGACCAGTCAGTGAAAAAGTGTTCAAGTAGTGCAGGGTCTATGTTCACACATGTATCAAGAGCAAATTAAGAAGATGAAACGTTACCACATAAGATATACCGAGAATGTGCTTACCTTTAACATGCCTTCCATATCAAGGGACATTAGCTTCTCCTGACTCATTTGTAAAATCGACATCCCAATTCGAAAGATGATTTCCATACCCTGCAAAAAAAGAAAAGAAATTTCAGAAAATATGTTGAAAATAAAAACTTTTCTCAATGCCATGAATCTTTCCTTTATTATCTGTGCCTTCTATCAGTGATGTTTGCATTCATTCCTGACCACTGACAATCCCTTTCTTCCTGATTTTCAATGCATTCCTATAGTAAAATCATTAGCAATGCATTTCCATTATACATATAATAGCCCTATTCTATAATGCTTGCCCTATTCTGATCAGTAATCCCTTTCCTGATTTTCAATGCATTGCATTCATTCATTATACATGACCACTGACAATCCCTTTCTTCCTGATTTTCAATGCATTCCTATAGTAAAATCATTAGCAATGCATTTCCATTATACATATAATAGCCCTATTCTATCAGTAATGCTTGCATTCATTCCTGACCACTGACAATCCCTTTCTTCCTGATTTTCAATGCATTCCTATAGTAAAATCATTAGCAATGCATTTCCATTATACATATAATAGCCCTATTCTATCAGTAATGCTTGCATTCATTCCTGACCACTGACAATCCCTTTCTTCCTGATTTTCAATGCATTCCTATAGTAAAATCATTAGCAATGCATTTATATTATACATATAATAGCCCTATTCTATCAGTGATGCTTGCATTCATTCCTGACCACAGACAATCCCTTTCTTCCTGATTTTCAATACTTTCCTATAGTCAACTCATGAATTTCTTCTTCTATGTGCCATGTCCATTTATGATGGTAATTATGACTCTCCACAATTTCCTGTTCTTTGTATTTCATAGTTTTTTTTAGTGGAAATAAAGCAATTGAAATGAAGATGAAAGAAATACTAGTGAAAAATGAATAAGAATTGACAATATGCCATCTAAAATTTCATATAACCACAATTCACTCAGTTAAGTGTCCTATACATAATACACGCTTGAACAATCATATCTCTTTCAATTCATGGATCACTAGGCAGACAATTTGCCTCAGGAAGTTGCCATTTCTTTTTGCGGTAGAGGAGTTGTTGGCTACAGAACCCAGTTTGTCCTTCAATTCAACCCATAGCTACAGCGGGAAGAGATGGATTCATGGTATTTGTGCGTAAGTGAATGTAATGAACCCGACTAGAATTCAAACATGGTTCTCCGATTTCTCATTCCGAGATTATATCCATTACACCACAACGGACATCCCATAACTACAATTACTAGAAGTCACGATTTGATGCTTTGACTGTTTGGCTCTTTGCAGGACTTTGGTGTTGATTACATTGTATTCCCATTTGATATTTAAGATTGAACAAATCTTTTGCTGGGGAAAATGTTCTAATTTTTTGATGTCACAAATATATAGAGTCCAAGTTTCACAGCCATATCACAAATTTGAAATGACAACAGCATTTTTTGTTGTTAAGTTTAGATCTTTGTTGTTGAAGACGTGTTTGATTAACTTTCCAAATGTGTCCTGTGTGTAGAAAAATCACGTGGTAGAGATAAACAGTCAGTTGTGGAGCAAGCTAAGTGAATAATAATTCAACCTTTAGAAAGAGAGCTATTTATGTTGCCATGGAGCATCTCATTGTGCTAAAGTAGGATAGTTCCTTGCTTGGGCTGTGATTGGCTGCTGGTACGTGAGTGGAGGTATTTCTATATAAATACCAGCTTGATTCATCAGTTAGTTTGCAGGGTTTGTATTAAGTTACAACCTGCTTTATTTTTGTCTGCCAGCTGGATGCTAGCTGGGACCTTTACGCCGGTAAGTGCTGTTTATTATTGTTATTCTACACTGTGCAGCTCCAGTTTTGTGCTCCACATCCTTTTCTGGGGTGCACTCGTTTGATAAAAGGTTACCTAGTTATGGAAAAGTCTCTATTTGTTCGACAGGTGTATTACAGATGGTAATATCAAAATCAAGATTACGAGATGTAAATAAGCAACAATACTAATGAAAAATTAATATATTTCTCTTCATTAGCCAAATCCCCATCGTATGAACATTTCTTTTAATAAATTTTAAAATAATTCAGCAGATGATATTTTATTTATGGTAACTGGATTTTTGGTGATTACTTGCTTGCCACAGCTTGATATAGTGCATTTGAAAAATGGCATATTTATCACAGTTTCTTGACCTTTTGGGAGTAGGGGTTCATGGAGGGCCAAAAACTTTAACCCTAAGCCCCAGGGAGCCTCTCCACCCAAGAAGGGGTTGGATTTATTTTCCCAGCACCTGAGTCATCAAAATAAGGGGAAGTGGTATTGCCGGTAAACCAATTCTAAACTTTGACCATGTGTCACATTTGGTACTAATTTGGGCCTTCTGAAAAATACATTTGCTTCTTGACCTTTTGGCTGCAATCAAAGTGTAGTATCTGTTCTTGGGCAGATAAACTATATTTCATCTCTGAGTTGTGTGTCTGTCTGCAGACAGAGTGCAACTAAAAATATTATTGAATGGTGCCCAGTTTCAAGAAAAAGCTGCCTGCGACAGTACCTACTTCATTGCACTAAAAAGTGGGTGATCAGTAGTAATATCAATGCCAGCGCAAGCAATAATTGCAGAGGTTGGGCTATGTTTTAACCTAACTCAGGTGCATGCACTCAGGTTCCCCACATTAAATTGACTTTGTGTCCCATCCTGCCAGTGTGGGGCAGCAAGCAAACCCAATCACTTCTCAGTTTTTTGGCTAAGATCAAAATGTAGTATCTGTTTTTATCAGTTTAATTTGATTCTCTCTCTTCCCTTTTTTCTTTCTTTATTTCTTTTTGTTTTCTCACTGAAAGCAAGTGTGTCTTTTCCCCACTTTCCACACAATCAAAATGGAATAGTCCATTATTTATGTGGTATTGGCAGGACATAACGGTCATGCAAACTAATGAAGTGAGGGGCAAGCACAATTATAGTAGGATGCCTTTATGAGATCTTGTTAAGTAATACTTCAATTTGTAAATAATAACATCTTTTTCATCTTACCTCCGAGATGAACAAATCCATCACTCTGCAAGCCAGTGATAGTGGCAGACTTGTCGCAAATAGTGTTAGAAACCAAGAGGAGGCATACATTGACGTGTGAAATCCTTGTGTTTGGAAATGGAGGTGAAGATCAGGCAGGAGCTCCTGGAATCAATAAAAGTGGGACTGCATCAATGGTAAAAAAAAAAAAAAAACCCAAAAAACAAAAAATTTTTTAAACACTAAATTTTGATATTTGTCTATATCTCTGAGATGAGATATTATGATGACTCATTATTATTTACATTATTCAGATTGTTATCCTCATCCTTATCATATTCAAAATGTTTTGGCCATGCTCTGGCCTTCTTCAGGCAATGAATAACGACAAAAATTGCAATATAAGCTCTGGTAAAAATGCAATAATAAAAAATTGCAATATGAGCACTGATAAAAATGTTTGCTGAGACATTAGGTTTATAAGTCCATGAAATTCATACATAGATGTTCTCAAGGACACATGGTCCAGTGGATAAGGATGTTGGGTAGATCCAGTGACTAGACAAAAAGAATTGTGAGTTCAATACCAGGCCACAGCAGTGGTGAACCAAAACTTGGAGAGTTGAGTTAAAGGGAAATAACTGAGACATCCAGAAGAGGCATGGCACATGGATCTAGAACAATCTACCCCCCTGGACAAAATAAAGTGTTTGGTTTGAAATTCCAATCACCTGAAGAAGGCCGGAGTCTACAATGGCCGAAACGTTGTGAATATGACAATGAAGATGAGGATAATACTAAATTTTGAATCTCATCAACTTTCAAACAGAATATCTAGAGTACAAGCGTCTTCAGTTTAGGAGGTGGTGGACAATCCTGAATTCAAATCTTAGCCAACTGAAAATATCTAAACAAAATCATGATAGATTAAAACAGCTGTTTAGTTTGGGTTAATACCCGGGATGTGGATGTAGTTTATCGTCATACCCAGGACGGTCCAACAGTTTTGGATGATCCCACTGGAGAATGATTATCCAGGATGTCCTTTATGTCAACGGACAGTGGGGCTATGAAAGGATATTGTAACAGTAATTGTTCATATTTCATCATCATGAGGATATTTTACGTCTATATTTAGAAGGGTGGTTCAAGTTGTGTAATGGTGAGTGAGGTTACAAGTCATCATGAATGAGGGTTTGAGCATGCTGACCTTGTTCAGACTGTTGATCATGCCAGATAATGTGCTCCTCTCTCAGAAACTAACTAATTCCACTCAGCATAGTTGCAGTATAAACCACAGATGGACTCTGTGGGTGTTGAACAAACACAGATGTGCCTGAGCAGGTGTCTATAACAAGGATTGGCTAGCTGCCTTAGTAGACAGGCATACTCAGATATGAGTTGCCAGCCACTACTAAAAATTGTTAGTGCAGTGTTTCTCAATATTCCTACTCTAGTGAAACCCTTAAAATAGTCTTCATGTCTCAGCGAACCACTGCATAAAAATTATTATATACCATTATTAATATCCCTTTTATATTTTTATCGTAGTTCATGTGGTAAATATAATATATGGACACTCATCCTGTACTCAAGTCAATCACTCAATACATACATGAATCCAGCGTGTACAGAAGGTTCTGTCCACTAACCAGTGAAGGCTAATTAACATTGACATGATACAGACATTGCTAAATACATTCCCTATGATCAGTCTAAATCACACATCGTGGGCGTTAAAGTTCGGGAATTTCCGAAATTTGACCTTTGTGGAACCCTTGAATCAATTTTCATGTTTCAGGAAACCCCTGCATAAAAATTATTATATACCATTATTAATATCTGTCTCTTTTATATTTTTATCATAGTTCATGTGGTAAGCATAATATATAGAGACTCGTCCTGTGAGTCAATGATAAAAATGACAATGGCTGTTGAACAACTAATCGACAGTTGAGACAATAGTGGCAGGGTGGGATAAAAATCTGATGCAATCACAGATGACACAATATTTTTCAAGGCCAAACAAATTTCATCATATGCCCCAAAAATAGATTCATATTACTACACACCACTGCAAATCTGAGGAAAAAATAGAGATCAGTTACACCCTGTCAATTCCAGGTGTCTAAAACTGACAGTATGGTGAAAGAAAGGAAACTAAAGCAGTTGTTTCAATTAATTTGCACAAGGGTGTAAGACAGTGCAAAAAAAAAAAACGCAACAGAAGAAGCCAGAATTTGAAATCAGCCTGTGTATTTCACTTATGGCATCAATAATGTTATGCCAGGCACTTATAATAAAGCTGGCCTACAGCAGCATTTCTCAACCATTGTATCCTTGCTTGCATTGAAATAGTTTTCATGTCTCAGGGAAACTATGCATAAAAATTATCATATACTATTATTAATATCTATCTCTTTTATATTTTGATTATAGTTCATGTGGTAAGCATAATATATGGAAGCCATGCATATATCATGTACTTGAGTGAGTCACTCAATGATACATGAATCTCGGGGTTTTGAGGACACCTGTTGAGAAACACTGGTCTAGAGGGTAATAGTGATTTTTTTTGTTTGTTTTTTTTAATCATTTCACCTCAGTTAAGGCAATAAAACCACTAAGATGCAAGAGGTTACTGAGTGTTAGAGAATATGAGAAAAACTACTATTACTATTAGGGAAAGAGGACAATAAAAGAACAATTAAGAAAACAGAAAATAATGATTGACATTGCATTTAAGACTAGTTGGGAAACACAGGTCCTGTTGCTAAGTACATTCCCTATGATTATCATAATTTTAAATAATACAAGAGGTTGTAACATTTATTATATTAACCAAGGATTTTCGAACAATATGCAGTAAAATTATGAATATAAAATTAAACAAAAATTACTCAAAAATGTATTAGCCTATTTATCACTGTTTCTTGTGGAACCATCAGTGACCTCTTGCAGTAACCTAAACTTCCAGGGAATACCAGTTAAGAAACAAAGGTTTAAATACTACGAGCAGTAGAGCCCAGCATTGCCCGGGGATGTAACAGTAAGAGATAGATCAAGTATCGACCATCATAAAAACTGAAAAATAAAATTGACAAAGATTATTGTTTAAGGTTGACGGACACACATGTCTTAATTAGTTTTTTTTTTTTTTTTACAAATTGGTCAAGCCCAAACTCAAACAAAAACATTGTTTTCAATTGTTATGAGTCTACCGATTGAATAGAATTTTATTATAAACAATTGTCTTGTAAATGGAATTTTTAAAGCATTCTGAATGTAAAAATAAAGAAAAAAGTGTGCAAGACAATAAGAAATACTACCTGCCAAAAAAAAGTGAAGTTTTGTTGAAATCAGTTGAAAAATGTAGGAAATCCGATCCCATATATAAATGAACACACACACACACAGACACAAACAAACAACCTGGGTTTTATAATAAGTATAACTTGATATGAGTTGTCCCCCTTTTATTCTCGCGACAGCGATGCCTCTTAATCGTTTTTTTCAAATTGATTTTGTGCAAAAACAATTGTGTTTTTCCAATTTTTGGCGCTGTCAGAACCACCGCAAGGTAATTTTATGTAGTTCTGTGAAGTTTTGTTGAAATCGGTTGAAAAGTGTATGAAATCCGATCCAATATATAAACATACAGACACACACACACAATCTACGTTTTATGATAAGTAAGATTCAGTAAACGTGGTTTCACACTGATGAAAATACAGACATCACTAAATACTTTCCCTATGATTATTATAATTTAAATAATATTAGAGGTTGGAGACTTTATTATAATAACCAAGGATTTTCCAACAATATGCCATATGTGCTTAGTGTAATTACAAATATAAAATTAAAAAAAAATTACTCAAAAATGCATTAGCTTATTAGTCACTGTTTCTCAAGGTGCCCTCTAGTGAAATCTTGCAGAGCATTAAGCTTTCAGGGAACACCAGTTGAGAAACACAGGTCCTGTCTACTAAACAGTGTGGATATTTGACTCACTAGACATCACTAAGTACAGTGTGTGTGTATGTGTGTGTATAAATATATATATATTTATATATTCAAGCATGTTTGGTTGAATAATCTAGACATCAGTTAGTTATGTGCCATGCGTGATACACCAAGCTTAGGTGATCATGTATCTTTTGATACATGAATGATGAGGCAGATTTTTTTTCTTGCAGTAGGTTGCCATTTCTTTCTGCGGTAGACCAATTGCCATCCAAGGCTAAAGAACCCGGTCTGTCCTGCTATTTACCCATAGCTGGGAGGAGAAGATGAGGATTCATACCTTTCCCAAGGGTATTAGCACATAAGTGAATGTAATGGATTCAACTGGAATCCAAACTTGGCTCTCCGATTCCTCAATCTGAGCTACTATCCATTACTCCACTATGCCTCCAGACATATAACATCTATTTATTTTTATTTTAATCCTCTCAAATTCACAGATCAATTTCTCAGTGTTATTAAAATGATTAAGAAAGGCACCATAGTTTTGGTCATTTGTTTTATTTTCTCAGGTACTTTCAATATCATCCAAGATCATCTTCAGGGGTAAATTGCTAAATCAAAAAATTCATGTAATTGGTAGTTGTGAATTTTTTTATAAATGGGCCCCATTATAGTCAATTTAAAAATTAACTTTGTAAAGGAGACAACTTAATATTTTTTTTATTGTTAATGTTTTAAAATACTCAACCTGCAATTTCAAAAAAAAAAAAAAAAAAAAAAAAAAAAAGAATTTTTTTTAAAATTTGAGTATCCCAAAAAATTGTGAATTTTAGGGGATTAAAATAAAAATAGACATATGTCTATTTTTATTTTAATCTATATATATATATATATATATATATATATATATATGTGTGTGTGTGTGTGCATATATATGCGTGTGTGTGTGTATATATATATATATATATATATATATATATATATGTATATATATATATATGTATATATATATATATATATAAATATATATATATATATATATATATAAAATATATATATATATATATATAAATGTATAATATATATATATATATATATATAAAATGTATATATATATATATATATAAAATGTATATATATATATATATATATATATATATATAAAATATATATATATATATATATATATATATAAATATATATATATATATATATATATATTTTATATATATTACACATGTATACATACACACAAATATTTTTATGCATGTATGTGTGTAAGTTAATACCTACAGTCTATATACAGATATCCATTGTATTGACTCACCCACTCATTCTCACAGACTCACTTAAAAATAAATTCACACTTATTAACTCATTCTTTAAATTCCCCTCTTAAAAATCAAATTTCCCCCACCTGTGGTGTGTGTGCCCCAAGTTGGGATCATTGGATCTGCAGTAGAGTTTGTTCTCATTTTGTTGTCCATATCTAAGGATATTTCAGATTGGCTAATTCTTCAATTATTTCTAGTAATGTTGCTATTGAGTTTCTATTTGTACTACCCAGTCCAGGGATTGAACTCTAAATTATTATGTCACCAAATTCAATAATGAATTCTTTAATCCTCTAGGCTATTTCTGCATGGGACAACAAAGATGTGGACATTAATCTGCAAATAACATAATGGTAATTCCTCATTCCAGAGATTCAGACAAATAGACAAGTCTTTAACTTCTTAGTCCAGGAAGCACCAATTTTGCAGGATAACAAAATTTAAAAAGAAATTTTTAAAGGTTCATCCTGTACAAGGCCCAGTGGTCAATTGAGGTAAAAGGTTACATTAAGAGACAGTTTATATGAATACTAGGGGAAGAGAACAGTTAACCCTAAACATGAATAGGTTTAAGATTGTAGTGTTTTAGCAAAACATTCTCTTGGGAGTCAGTTCCATAGAGCAGTGCTTCTCGGGAAGAAGCTGTTCAGATGGAACTTATCATCGCAACAATGGAATACTAAGGGAACGTGGGTGGTTTGTTACAATGTGAGATGCATGATGGGACCTAGCCGTTAACGTTAGAACTAAGAAATGTAGTTTGTCTCAGCACTTTCTATGGAAGTAGCAAATAAGCAGTGAGAAACTCGCTACGCCTTGCCTGTAAAAGAGAGAAGTCTGAGAGGGGAAATAATCTGTCATCCACAAGGAATTGGAGATGCTTCTGGACTCAAAAGCTGACAGTTGGTGTAGTTCCTTTTTCAAAAAATTCTTGGAAAAATCAGTTCCAGTGTAACTGCAAATTTATATATTGGAGTCTGAATGAAACTACATAGAATATTAGGTAGAAGCTTCTTTAATTATTTTTTAAAGTTGCTTCGTAAAAGCCAAATATTTTGAGACTAACCTGAATCAAGCATTCCAATTGATACATACAAAGACCTAGCTCTGCCATACTTGGCTTGAATAACTCCCGCAAACGATATTCTTGCATCAGAGTTACCAAGACGGCAAATGCCTCTTCTTCTGGCATCTGAAAAGAAAGAAAAAATGAAAAAGTAGATGATAATGGTATCTTGTGTGATTGTCATTAATTACAAAAAAGAAAAAAGAAAATGGAGAACAAAAGGATGAAAACCAGATTGAAGGCAACATTGTATAAACATGAAGAAGGCTGGAGTGCAGAGGAGTCGAAATATGATAAAGACACTGAAGAAGAAGATACGAGATAAAGAAAAACAAAGATAAGGAAACTGGTCCAAAAGAATCATTGTATAATAGTAACAACATGAGGAAGGCTGGAGAGTAGAATGGCTGAAATATTGGGATAAAGACAAAATGACAAGGAAAGAAATTGTTATAGGTGAATCAATGATAAGTGAATACAAGTCTTCCAATTTCCTTTCCACTGGATCTCTGGAGATTACTAAGGAAAGAATTGGAAATCCAAGAATTTCTGTTGTTTTGTTTAATAATCACACCCTGAATTTTGCAACAGGATCACAAATAAAGAATGTCTTCATTTAAAAGAGTTCTTCTGTGTATATTTATGAATCAATTTAAAAATTTTACTTGTGTGTACTAATCAAAATAGCTAGAAAATGGATATAAGTTTAAGTCTATTTGAATATGAAAGAAGGATTTATAAATTCATTTATCCAATTTTAACAATATCTATTAATAAATAGAATAATATAAATATCTACTAATAAATACATATGATATCTATTAATAAATACAGCAATATATCTACTAATAAATATAATAATATCATATCTGTTAATAAACACAACAATATATCTATTAATAAATACAATATGATATCTACTAATACAATATGATATCTACTAATAAATACAATATGATATCTATTAATAGATACAATATATCTACTAATACAATATCTATTAATAGATACAATATAATATCTACTAATAAATACAATAATATGATATCTATTAAATACAATGTAATATCTAATTATAAATACAATAATATAATATCTACTATTATAAATAATATCTACTAATAAATACAATAATATATCTGTTAATAAATACAAAGGAAGTACGTTTTCCATCTGAATCTTCCATGTTGATAAAACTGTTTCATGTTTATATTCTCAAAATACATAACAGCCGTCAAATATTTTTATGATTTTTCGTCAAAAAAAAATAAAAATAAAAAAGTTAATGTTGATGTAAGGGAGGCAACTCTCTGATATTTAAGTTTGTAGGTGTGGTGTTTAAAACGCATAAGTGCATTGTTTTATGAAATGGTAAAATATGCGTGTATGGGTAGAATGTCGTGGTTATTTGCCCCTCTCGTCCTTTTCTTTTTTCCCTTCACTTTACACTCACTCTTTAACCTTTTGTTTCCCTTTCTCCTCTTCTTTCTTTGTTTCAATTGTTACCATTTCACTTCCGGTTTTCTAGATATGTTGTTAATTTTTGTGCATTCTAGTCTTTTCTTGAGTTATGAAAATTATATATTTACTATTTTCACCAAATACAAGGACTAAGTACCCCTCAAAGTAGAAAGTTATTAAATGCGGATGTTGTAAATGCATATAAGAACTGCTGATTAATTTCCTTTTTTTTCATGGCTTATCAACTGTTTGAGAGTTATTTTAAAGCTGAAAAATTTTGGATTTTAAGAATGATTCGGGCGGGGAGAGATGTAGTAAATATTGCATTAATAATTTTTGAGAGATAATGATTCTTCCAAATACAAGTCCTACTATTTAACCCATAGTTTGGGGGAGAGATGAGACTATTACTATTTTTCACCAAATACAAACCTAAGTACCCCTCAAGGCAGAAAGTTATTAAATGGGGATGTTGTAAACGCATATAAGAATTGTTGATTGATTTCCTTTTTTTTCATGGTTTATCAACCCATTGTGGGTTATTTTAAAGCCAAAAAACTTTGGATTGTAAGACTATAATGATTTTTCCAGACAAGTCCTAGTATTTAACCCATAGCTTGGGGTGCAGAGGTGATACGGATTCACACCTTTTCCCCAGGGTAGTTGCACATAGATGAACATGGCATACAGAAGGAGGGGATCAAGGGTTGCATATTATATATTACTTACCTGCATTAATAATAATCCTACAATGAAACCGCTCCCCTGACAGTATCCCACCTCTCGGTCATGCAGTGAATATGCCTAAGAAAAAACAGAAAGAATATTTATCAATACATTGATAAGAATGCAACAAAGAAAATTAAAAAAGGACAACAAAAGAAAGAGATGCGACTGAGATCTGGTTCTACCCATGAATACTGAGGATACTATGAACAGGACATGTGACCAATGAGGAAGTTTTAAGGAAAACAGGAACATGAAAACTTATATTTACAATCTGAAAGAGAGAGCTGAAATTTCAGAGATATACCTGGTGTAACAGCAAAATTGTTCAATTGTTAGATTAAGCTTGAAAGGATATGGCATATAGAAGTGAATGGATGGCTAAGCAAGGACAAAGAGGGTTGACATATGATTAAAAATAAAATTAACCCTTAAGGCAAAAAAGATAGGAAGTTGTGAAGAGCCAAGATGGACTCCATCATAGAAGGACATGGCATATAAAAGAAGTGAACAAATGGCTGAGTAGAGATAAAGAGCTGTGATAATTGATTAAAATTTATTTAGGGTAGCAAAAAGGCACAGGCAGTTGTGGCGAGCTATGTTTGAACATGTCTATAAATGCCTGCTGTGGACATGGAAGACTTTTATGAATCTTTAGCTACAGAGCCATGACATGAAATAAGATTAAAATATTATATGCAAGAAAAACTTGTCTGTTTTGGATGTGTTTTAATGGCCACTTGTTTCTTTCAATTTTCTCTTAATTTGCAAGAAGCACTTTTTTTTAAAGATATTGAAAATTAACTGAACCTTCTTTGGTCTAATGTTTTCCACTAACATGAAGTGGAAAGATTACATTGAATCAATTGTTAAGTCTACTGCTAGGAAGATTGGTTCCCTGTGTTGTGCTAGAAAATTTTTATATCTTTCATATCTACAAGTCCATGCTAAGAATATTGCTTCCACATATGGTCTGTTGCACCTGATAAAATCCCCAGAAGAATCTGCAATGTTATTAGTCCTAACCTGGCATCTTGACTTCAGTCACTTTCCCACTACTGTAATGTAGCTTCCCTGTGCCTTTTCTATAAATACTTTCATGGTAATTATTCTGATGAACTATCCTCTATGGCGTTTGTGTCAAGTAAAAAGGGCTGTCTTGGAGTGGCACTTTGATACCAGTTAGGCATCAGGATATTGTTCTTCCTGGATAGAACTTAGGCAACCCCTCCCAAAATTAGGCTAGTTAGGGTTGTGTCTTCATTCCAGCTAACTTAGCTAGGGGATGTATACTCATTGGTCCCTTTTATTTCTGTCCCTATTTTTCTTTAGTTTAATTCCGCATCACCTCCCTCATTAGGTGATCAGTGATGTTGGTTTTCTCTTACTTAAAGTACAAAAGAACTATTTTTGGGGTCTTTGGGATCTCTGGGGATAAATGAGAACCATAAATCAAATGAAATTAACTTTCTTATCACATCCAGTGTCCAGACTCAAGAGTTTATCTGTCTGCCTGTTTGTTTTCATATATATATCTGTGTGTAGTCATCCACAGACAGACTGTTTTGCTGTATCACAGCTCATCAGTATGTCTAGACGTCCGTTGCTATATATATATAAAATATATATATATATATATATATATATATATATATATATATATATATATATATATATATTCATAAAATTATTCACACAAAACAAATGCAAAGGTTAATGATTTAATTGAATAGAGAAATTTTTTTCTGAATTAAAACAATTCAAATAAATACAAAACCTATTGTTGTAACCTAAAATGCTATTGAAATGAGTTATTGTTTCGATACAATAATACATATATTTTCGTTGTCCTCTTATTACTGAGAGAAAAACAAGAACAACATCTATTCCATACTGAAGATGTCTGTAGGAACAGACGTTCTTGTAGTAAAAAATAAGAACTAATGCAGCAGAAATTTATAGAAACAAGGATCTTTTCATTCATAACAGGTTCAGAGGTTTTTGTATATTATTTGAATTGTTTTACATTTACGGATTTCGCCAATTAAATCATTAACCTTTTTATTTGTTTTTGTGTGAATAATTCATGAATTTGTAAATTGATTGCGTTTATCTAAATATTATATAAATATATATATATATATATATATATATTAGAGCTGTTTGGTGTTTGTGGGATTTTAAATCAGTTCACCAAAATAGAGAATGTTTTTTTTTTTTATGTATAAACTTGAATATACACTACAGTTCAAAAGTTTGAGGACAACACTGGTAATTTTTTAAAATTGACCCCAAAAATAGTTCTTTTGTACTTCAAGTAAGAGAAAATTATTATACATGTTAAAAAAAAAAAAAAAAAAATGAAACATGATTTCTTATTAGAAATTTTCTCATGACAAAAAGAAAAAAAGAATTTTATGATTAAATTTTGCTCTTGTCAAAATATCCTCCTTTAGCCTTGATTACTGCAACAAATTTTTGGCACTTGTAATAAAAGTTTCTCAAAGTATAAGTTTGATAATTGATTCCATTCTTTTTTCAATGACTCTAAGAGTTATTTTTCACTTTTTTTTTTTTTCACTCTTCTGTTAAGTTCATCTCATCCTAATTTTGGGGGTGGCTTCAAACTTTTGAACTGTAGTGTATGTGTTATATAGGGATAAAGTGTTGCTGTCAACACTTCAGTTTGAACATAGATTGCCAGTGAGCAAACACAGGTGATCCCATTATTAAATTAAGTAGATCACATGACCATAGAGGAAATGCATATATGTAGGAAGTAGCTGACAACTAACGATCATTATATCTACTGTATCATCTACTACTATATGGATTGCTATTCTCTACTCTATTCACTATAATATTTCTCTATTCAGATCACTATATGGATTACTATATGAATGAGTATTATTGAGCAAGTGCTATTACTGTACATATTATTCAAAGACATCTGACACCAGTATTGTTCAACAGCGTTACTATAGTTGTATCTGCAATTACAAAGTCTCTACTACGAGTTTTATGAAAGTGACAACGAGCATTACAAAAATAGCAACAAGTGTTTGTTGACATCACAAAATTAATGTAAAACGTATTGTTTATAAATTTTCCATTTTGTCTCATCTTCACAAAAATGACTATAAAAATACTGACAGTTAATTCTTGTTGGTGCCACCTTTGTGGTTTTAATTGGATATTCTGCAGATAGACTAAGTTAAACAATGCCACCGATGCAAATATAAGAAGAATACTTCACAGAATCAGGATAGCAGCCATGGAATGGATGAACTGAAATATTGCCATATACAATTAAACCAATGGTCCAAATGACTGTTGGAATGATAACTACTTCTGTTATAATTTCTGAAATGAGGTATTGTAAAAATTTACACTATTTACATCGTTCAGACTTGTCCTCATCTTTATAGTCATGTTCCTGATGTTTCGGTTGTTGTACGCTCTGGCCTTCTTCAGCATATGTCTGTATTTCTGAGATGAAGTATTGTAACTATTTACACTACTTACATCGTTCAGACTGTTGTCCTCATCTTTATTATCATATTCACAATGTTTTGGCTGTTGTATGCTCTGACCTTTTTCAGGTGATATACATGGCCCAGTGAATAAAAACATTGATTCAGACATCCAAAACGTGGCTTGACCCAAAGAGTTGTGAGTTCAATACCTGGCCACAGAAGAGGGAACAAAAACTTGAGTTACCAAAGGGAATTAACTGAAAACAGATATCCAGAAAAGGCATGGCATGTGAAACTAGAACAATCTATTCTTGTGGACTAAATAAAAGGTTCAGTTCAAAATTCCAGTGTATATCACCTGAAGAAGGTCGGAGTGTACAACAGCTGAAATGTTGTGAATATAATACAATAAAGATGAAGACAACAGGTCGAATGATGTAAATCATTCCTCAAGGCTATATCCTTGTTCCTACACTGTTTCTGATCTTCATCAATGATATTCCTGGTGTCATCAGTTCTCAATTTGGCATCTACGCAGACGCCACCACCATTTACTTCTGTCTTAATAGTAAAGTTAACCTGGCATTAGTCTTGAAAATGTCCTCGAATCTGTGGTTGACTAGGGCAAGAAACAGCTTGTGAATTTTAATGTATCCAAAACGAAACTGCTGTCATTTACTCATCATAGAGAAACGTGCCTGTCTCTTATCAGTATGGCTGATGGTTAACTCCACAAGAGCACCACACTGCACCTTCTTGGTCTCACATTTGCTACTGACCTGAGGTGGAACAACTACATTGAATCAATTGCTGCATCTACTGCAAGCAAAGTTGGTTCTTTGTGTTGCACCAGAAGGTTTTGCTTGTCAGAGTCCATCTTTCACATCTACAAATCTACCATTCATCCATGCATGGAATACTGTTGCCATATATGGTCTGGTGTCCCCGCTGTTCCTTTTGAGGTTCTTGACAAAATCCAAAGACGGATATGCAATGTGATTGGTCCTGGCTTGGAGTCTCGACTTCAGTCAATTTCTCACCAACTTAATGTGGCTTCCCTCTGTCTTTTCTATAAATATTTTCATGGCATCTATTCTGATGAGCTATTTTCACTGTTACCCCAACTGCATGAATTTCAGCGTGCTACTATATTGGCATCTCGGTCCCATCCTTTTACTGTCGAAACAGTTAAATGTAACCACCTCTACAACTCCAACAGCAGCTTCTCTCAAACTTCCTGACAGTGGAACTCCCTTCCTCTTACTTGCTTCCCTGATAACTATAATCTTCAAAAATTTAAATGTCATGTTAATCAACATCTTCTGTTGCTTCGATCCCTGTTCTTCTTTTTGTCTTCCTCTGTTCTTTTTATCCTTTACTCAACACCCTCATGCCTATACCCTTACTTACACTCTCTGTAGCCCCTTGTGTACTAGTGGCACTCCTGCCTTGCTTGAGCTTAAAATAATGCTAAAACCTTCTCAAAATTATAGAAGACATGTCTATACAACTGAAGAATGCCATAGAATCAATTTCTCTAGAAAGTGTTGACAATAAAAGCAAAGAAAAGGACAAGATCAATAATATGAACAATTTATGCTAATGGCCATATTTGTTTGTATCCAGTGCAATGGAAGAAAGTAACTCACCTTCATAACGTTGAAAAGACTTTCTTGGCCAAGCCCATCTTTTTCTTTAAAAAAAGCATGGTCTGGGAACGTCCGAGCAATGTCTCGCCGGATGAGTTTTTCACTCGGGGATGTCTTTTTGAGATATTCAACATATTGCTCTTTGGCTGGAGAGTCATGAACATTTAACAGCAGCTGCCAGGCGAGACCACGGAATGGATTTGGGATACCTTTCCTTACCAATTCCTACAACAAAGAAAGATTTAAAATAGTCTGGTTGGTCAATTCATTTTCTATGGCTTATCAACCGTTTGCAGGTTATTTGTTTTTAGATTGTAAAAATTAAAAAAACAATAATAATGATTTAGTAATACAAGTCTTACTAATTAGCCCATGGCTGGGGGAGAAGAGGTGGATTCATACTTTTCACAAGGATTATTTGCATGTAAGTAAATATAATAAACCCAAATTTCATGGTAAATGTTCAAAAATTTAAATGCAATTTCAATTGTTATCTTCTCTCTTCTTAATTCTTGTTATTTTATTGTGCTCTCAACTTAATGTTTTTTGCTTATATTCTTTCACATTGCATATTAGTGGCTTTGTTGCCTTGCTTGGGGTGAAATGATTTAAAAAAAAAAAAAAAAAAAGATTTCATTAAAAAATATACAAATTCATTTTCTACAGCTTATCAACCCTTTGCAGGTTATTTAGAGCCAGAAATTTTTTTTTTAGAGATAATAATCATTTAGCGATACAAATCTTACTAATTAACCCATGGCTTGGTGGAGAAAGGTTAAAATTGTTCAATAATGCACGGCTCAGAGGGTTAATGCCATATCCTTTCAGGATGTAAAAATCAAAGCTTTCCACAAATTCCTTTTTCTTTTATTATCTGTAAATTGCAATATCTTCTTGGGAAACAAGAGCTACAATCACCTATTCTGAATTCCAAACTATGGCAATGGGAAGCCACTCCATTATCTTTTCCAAGATATGGTAATTCACAGATAATAAAAGAAAAAGGAACTAGTGGAGAGTCATGATTATGTACATCCTGAAGTAACATAGGATTAAAAAAAAACTACTCTATGCTAAATTGTTGAACAGACTCTTTCATTCACTATAAGTGGGATATCCACTCATAGGAATGGTGTTGCAAAGTGGCTCATAGCATCCAGTCATATACATTGTGGCACGGAACTATGGTGTGTATATATATATATATATATATATATATATATAAAGAGAGAGAGAGTGGGGGGTACACCAAATATTCATCAGTGGTCACAATGACATTATTGTCATAGGAATGGTGTTGCAAAGTGGGCCATAGTATCAAGTCATATACATTGTAAGACGGAACTATGGTATTTGTGATTATTGCATCATTAATCCAAGTCCCTCATGTGATTAAACGTTTTCTACACTAACCTTTTGTTCCAGTGTTTTTTCTTACAATATTATTAATCAAAACTATGAACATTATAACAGGAATGCATCATGTGACATTATGATTTAACAGTTTTGGGTCTGATGAACTCCTATGTATTCATTTATTATTTAATTTTTTACTTGTTAAATAATTTTTTGAAAATAAACAAAATTACTAATTTTTTTTTTAACTTTTGAATAAAATTTTTTTAATTATACCAGAATAAAAAAAACATTTAAAAAAAAATTAAATTTAAATATTTAAAAAAAAACATTTTTTTAAACTTTTTGATAAAAAAAAAAATTACTTTTTTATACAAGAATGAAAAACATTTAAAAAAAAATTATATTTAAAAGAAAAAAAAAAAAAAAAAAAAAAAAAAAAAGGGGGTGGGTGGGAAAGTTTTCTCACCTTGACATTATTGGGTTTCTTTTTGAAGTTGTCCCATTCATTCACTATCCTACCCCATGTTTGCCATAGATTTTCAGAGGCTGCAAAAATGAAATAGAAAGAAATTTAGTTAGAAATTACAGAGAAAGACAATAAAATTTATTGCTGATCCATAGCAGAGGCTGAAAGATGTAATATGACCGACTGAAGCAATATGAAAATAAAGCAATGAAAATAAGATGGAAAAAAAGTCAGAAAATAAAAAATAACATTTAATTTAAGAAATACAGACAACATAAGCCTATTATATTGATTACTACAATGAATGGTTTAACGAGTATGGTTTGGTTTTGTTTGATTTAGTTTAGTGGCATATCAACACCAATTGGTTATTTAGTGCTGAAATCTAAGTATTTTGTACATAATTTTATACTTTCAAGGCAAACATTTGTTTTTACATATATAGTCTGTTGTAGATGATAAAATGTATTGTTGGTAAATTTTTTTTGCTGGTAATTTCACTACCAAAATATATTGTTGATAATTTTTTTTATAAAAATGTATTGCTGGTAATTTTACTATAACAATGTATCTTTATACTTTTTTTTAGTGTTGTATTGATTGTCATTTTGCTATAAAAATGCATTGTTGGTAATAATTGTTTCTTTTATAAAAATGTATTGTTGGTAATTTCCCAACAAAAATACATTGTTGCTAATTTTTTCATGAAAATTATTGCTGATATTTTTACTATAAAAAAACATTTTGATTTTTGTCTGGGGATTTACTATTT